GGAGATAACATAATGATAGACTGCAAAAATTCAATGTGATTTGAAGTTATTTTACTGTGAAAGGGGGTTAATTTAATCTTATCTATTTTAAACTGAATGTTGCAGATGTTCAATCGCTTTGTTCTTATTGAGAACTTACTTCAGGACTTGGTATTTGGAAAGAACATATAATCTGCTGTGATCTGGAAGAGTGCACTACAGTATGATGATATTGTTTACTTACTAGATAAAAAGGTTGATGGTTGGTATAAAAACCTAAATAATGTACTATATCCTAATGAAAAAGCATATCAGAAGCAGATTCAGGTATTTTAAAAATCCAGGGCATAACACATTTCTGTGGTGATCACACACCTTTCATTATATGGGATGATGACATACATCTTTCATGATTTGAAATAAATGCATAAGCAAATTTCTGACATGTCCGGGAATGATGATGACATTGTGTTTGCTCAACTACATTTTGGGCTTTACTAGTGAACTTTTCCAAAGTGTTCTGATTTTGGACCAATTCAACAGGTTCACATAGCACTACTCTTGACAAGCATCTGAGAATATCAATTAGTTTTTGTTCTCTGGATATTTTTATGTGATAATGGAATATAGGAATTTTTAAAGTGTGAAGTTATGAATATTTATCTTGAAGAACATGAACAAGGCTCAAAAGGATATGGGGTACAATGAAACAATATGTTCATTTATATATTTTGGTAATACTAGATTTTGAAAAGGCCGTTTCTCCATTAAATATGTTTTTGCATGTTATATATAGATATATAAAATCTCACAAAAAGATATTTAATATATGTCGTATGTGAATATGTAGGGTATATATGATATAGACATAGACATATATACACACAAACACACACACACACAAATGTGTGTCTATGTGTTTGTGTGTGTTATTCAGTTATAAAAGTTCAATTTTGATTTGAGTTTAGTGCTGTTTTTACTATCTTTGCATAACCCCATTGGCTCTACAGATTAATTTATCTAACAGGCAACAGTAGCATGGCCCCATTAATATTTTAGATGGTTCTTAATATTGCATTTATTATTGGAAACATATGGTTATATAACTTTTTAAAAGGTACAATCTGAATGTTTCTAACAAAGTTAGAAATGAGAGGTAATTATCCTCCTTTTTGCTTAATACAATCAATGTTATTCCTTAAATTCCACTGTGTCAATCGAAATAAGGACTTAAGAAGTATACTGTGACAAACACTATTTAGTATAAAAAACATGAAGAGCCTAGGGAGCAGCAGACAATTATAGGTGATGGATTGATCCATTATTGAGATAGAGTTCTATATTTTATTTTTCTCCCCGCCACCCCTGACATTCACACCAGTCCCTCACTTACCATTTTTTAAAAATGTATCTCCAAATAGCAAAAGTGAAATGGAGAATCTACATAATTTGTGTTCTTCAGTTGAAAGTAGCTGTTATATTATGTTACTCGAGGTCTTGTTACTCACCTGTTTTACCTCCTCTATAGTAGTTCTTTAAGGGGCGAAGTTTATTTTTCCAGGAGCATTTAATTGATGTGGAATAATATTATTTTAAGAAGTGTAAACAATAATTCCATTTATTTATTATCTTGTTTTTAAAAGTTATTTTTATAAATACTGCAACTCAAGGCAGTGAAGACACAAAATACCCTTTCCTCCTCCTATTTTCTCTAGAACAGCAATCCTGTGTGGTGGGTTGGGCTGATAAAGAGCAACTGGCCCTAAGAAAAATACTTTTTTCTAAGCACTGAAGGATAGCAAACAGCTGCATGTTTAGATTCATTCATAATTCAGAAGTAAAGTCCTCCAAAAGTGTATTGTATTATTAAATTAACTAACAGAAAGTTCCTCCTATGTTTAAAGCAGATACCTTGAACCTGGGAATATTTTTGTTGGTTTCAAGATCTCAATCGTTTCTCCAAACGAAGAAAGAAATATCACAACTAGGATTATGTCCCATGGATATGGGAAAATCAAGGTTATAATAGCCCAGTGGACTTATACATCCAACTTGGATTTACAAGATAAAAGCAACTTTTAAATCAAAGTGCTTTTTTCTGAACTGAGCTTATTATTCGAAAGACAGGAATGATTTTCCTAGAATGTTGTCTCTTTATGCTTGGCTATTATCTTTGATTTTCCCCTTCCACTAATGAGCATTTATCTAAAAGAGTCTCTTAATCCTCTGATGTGTGCTTCTGGTCAGAGGTAACAGTTTGAATAAAACCACTAATCACTTATCACTGATCATTAATCACACTTTTCTCTGGGGCTTTGCGACCTGCATAGGGATAAAAAAAGACCCAAAGAAGGAATTCAGTTCCTACCTCCTCCCCTTATTCACCCAGTATTGCTGTTTTAAATTCTTCATGAAAATTGAATCTTGGGTATAAAAGTGACAGATTCCAAAGAGAACTTTAGAAACTTAAGCAAATTTTATTTTCACTCTCACTTCCCCAATCATAGCATAGCCTGTTATAATTTAGGCAGCCTTTCACTTTTAATACTGGTAAATAGTATTTGTTTTCTGTACTATACTATACTATATACTATATATGACACAATATGATAAAATACAATACACTACACTAATGCTACACTTTATGCTATACTTTACACTATAATACGCTACACTACTATACTACTATATACTATACTATACTATTCACTATGCTCTACTACCTCTGTATACTACTATACTACAGTATACTATAGAGATTTTGTACCAGCATGTGTAATAAAGTATATAGGCGTACAAAATTTTCACTAACATATCCAGTCCAGACAATATATGAATCTATATAGATTTTTTTCCCCTTGGGAGCTTTTTTTTTTTTTGAAGAAGGAACATTTTCTTCAGAATTGGTTCCAGTGTAATCTCTAATATTCTCTATCTCAGTCCTCTATGAAAGGTGTGTAGGATCCAATTTCAAGACTATTATGAGAAGAATCCGTGATGAACTATTGTTAAAACACCCACAAAAAAGAAACCCACATTATTTTTTCAAGGAATGGAGATTCTTATTCATAAGGTCTGGTTTAAAAGGACGCTCAAGTTACTCACTTATCACCCTCCTTGGAGCTCCGGGCGACCGGAGACCTGCATCTCCTTTCGATCTTCCGTCCTGTCCAAGACCCTGATTCCTACGATCACCCCTTGCGGCTGAGCTTCAAGAATGCTAGTGGCAAGTTTAGTTAAGCAGGTAGAGTCTTCCCATTCCCAGTAAAACTTGGGGCGGGGGGAGGAGGAGAGAGAGAGACGTCTGCTGAGAATGCAAAGAATCTTGGAAAGAAGGGGTCACGCTGGTCATCTCAAGCTAGGTGGCAGGACTTTAGGATTTCTAGCCTGACCCTCCCAAAAACTGCCCCAATATCCGAACCTCTTAACACATTCTTACTAGCCTGCAGAATGACGTAATGGTCCAGGAGCCAACTCTGACTCCCAAAGATAATGTCAGACAGGGCGGGGGCGACATAAGGGAGGGGGGCGCAACATAGCGATGCAGCCACCTATCAAACAATTATATACATACCACGAATCCTTGGTGATATTACTTTAAAAAAAAAACAGGAGAGGACCATATGAGGACTGGAGATGGAATGGTGTCGTGACGAAGTGGAGAAGCAACGGCCTCTTTCATTCTTTTTTTTTTTTAGTCCAACAACTCTTGCTGAAACTTCTCCTGTCTGAGTCTTCTTTGCTTGAACTCGCGAAACGACGTTTAAAAGTTTTCGCGCTGCGGAGAAGTACTAGAAAGGACGCAGCTAGAAAACGCAGCCGCAAGACATTAGTGCTGTCATTCCACCAAAAAAGAAAAGTGTTACGGAGCAGGCAGGAAGAGTGAGAAAGAGAGAAGTACAAGTCTGATTTGTATCTTCCTCTGCAAGTTCCTTGCAGATAGGACTTCGGGCACCCAGGTTGTTATTGTTAACCCGACATTATATTTAAGGTCCCTGAGAAAAAGCGGATAACGCAAACAAAAGTGGCTCAAGCTCCGGAAGCGAGACATTCCGAGCTGGTCCGGAGGCTGATTTGGGCCATTCTGGTGACATTTCCTAAGTGACAGGGTCCGTGAGACCACATGCCTGAGAAGACAATGTCCTGAACTTATACAGAACGCGCATCCAGAGCTCAAGCAGGGATCGGTCGTAGTTAAGCAAAAAATTGGACATTCTGGATAAGGCTTCCTTAAATTCAGAAGTCCCGGCAAATTTGAGGGGAGAGGAGACTGTAATTCAGTGACAACGGAAAACACGCGCGAGCGGAGACATATTCCGATATCCTTCTGGTTAAGTTTTCAAACTTTTGTATACTAAATTCTGTGTTTGGCAGTTACAGGAAAAGATATCGTCAAAGATTCCCTCTGTAGCTGCTGCTTCAGTGTCTAAATATCTGAATGCCCACGCATCATTTTAAATAGGCACGTCCCAAACATTTTACTCCCCCCTCCATTCCGATTAATAACAAATGATCGGGGCTACTGCACCGGGCAGACGGACTGGACACAGATCTACACCGTTCCGCATCTTCCCGGAGCGAGTCACTCACTTTCCATCTAGTGTCATGCGCTGACGGGCCGGATCGTCTGCCTCAGATACGACCGCTTCATTCCCCAAGTGAAAGTAAGTCACTATCAATCATTAATTTGTACCCAGTCAAGCAAAATCTCGGACGCAGCCGCCAAATTAAACATATAGCAAGTACCGTTTACAACAATCTGATTATTTTGTCGGGATCGCACTTTCTCTTGCTTACTCTCCCGCTTCACTTCACGTCCCCCCCCCCACACCCTTTGCTCTCCTGTCTGTGCGTTGATTGCACACACGTTCTGGATTAAAGGAAAACAAACACCTACCACCATTCTCTGCAAGCCAGAACTTTTAAGAGATCCTCCGGAAAAGCGAGTTTTCAAATGCAATATAAAGTTGATTGGAAAAAGGAAAAAAACTCAAAACAGTTCAATATTTGTAGGGACTTACCCAACAAGTGTAAGAAGGAAAGGGATCAGCAGTCTGAGTGAAGGAACCACGTTGGACTGAGAGAAGGTTACAATACGTTCTATTTAGAGAAGCATTACATCACCCTTCGTGACGTCACGTGGGATTCCTGAACTTCTAAATCATTGCGGTCCCCGCTCGAGAGAATCAAGAGAGAGGCGGAGGCGAGAGAGGCGTGTTCCAGGCGGACCCCGCCCCCGCCCACTCCACTCCAGCCAGCCACAATGCAGGCAACCGGAGGAGGACTGACTGTAAAATCGGAGCGGCGCAAGCAAGACTTTTTGCACCGAGGATGACAGGACGCTGCCATCCGTTCTGTGAATCAGCCTGCGAAAAATCTACTTGCCGAGTTTGGGAGAAGGAAGCTGCTGGACACTGAATCACACCTCTGCCCTTCCCAGTATGTGGGACTGCCCCAGTCTCAGGATGCGAGGCCGGCGTCCCAATTCACTTCGTAAAGGCAGCGAAATAGTTCCTCCTTTTTTTGCTGTTCTGAAGTGATCGGTTCAGGTTTTATTTGGGTCCAAGAAAGTCTCCAGCTGAGGTCTAAAACCAAAAAAGGGGATCTCTGGCCAGGTATAGAGAGTGCATTTCTCAGCATGCTTGTATCACATAAATCAAAGCAATGAGGGTTATGAAAAAAAAAATTTTTTCAGAAATTAACCATTAAGTAATGTTAACTTCTGAGCTAATGATGGAGGGGAACAGTATAGGATAAATTGATACATTTTGCAAATATTCTAGTGCAGTGCAGGGTCCTTTAGCCTATGTATGGTTTTGGCCACTTAATCCTGTTGCTACTTTTCAAGGTCTGCAAACAGCTTTGTTGATGTCTTAAACATGTTTTTTCTTTAAAAAGATACCAGTGATTTAATTAGGATATGCAACCTGCAGCCCTGGGATTAATAATGCCTGTAAAATTAAACCTGCAAATTTCAAGCAACTAGGCACATAAAACATGTGCAATATTAGTGAAACAGAGCATCGTAAAACAATTCAAGCATACACACGTACATACATGCACACAAAACATCACCATCAAATTACAACTATTTTTTGTTGTTCAAATCTTTGCTTGTTTTGATAAAGACAATGTCATCGAAACATTCTAGGGAAAGATTATATCATGAAGTTTCTTAAGCTGGTTTTCCTTGGTAACATCTAAAGTCAGAAGAACTAACGTTGGTCAATACTTTGGAAATCATTTTCCTGGAAGTTTATCCCACTAAATGCAGTGGGAGTCACTTCTGACTAAAACGAGTAGAACTAAAGTTCTTGAATAGAAGCCCAATGAAACAGTTAGAATTAATGTAACCCCACATTACTTTGGGCTTGTATTTTAAAACTGAATAGTTTTTCCTGACACCTTCTTGTTGCCTACCCAAACTCTCTTGAGGCCTGGAAAGCCAAATTGCCTATTTTTCCTATACAAATTACCAGAACAAACACTTCTGGTACTGCTTCCTGGTTGACTGCATCTCAACCCCACATGCAGTGTCAGGTCACTTGCCTCACTAGAAGACAGGCCTAAACTTCTTTCCTGGCTTAACATTTCTGTACACGAAGAAGGCCCAAGCACCAAGAAGGCCTAACTATCTTCCACCACATTTCATAGCCATGGTGAAAAGGTAAAACATTTTGGAGATGCTGCCTTGGACATATTTTGCCTCATGACATGAAAGATAAAGACCAGTACTTTAATTTTTGTTCCAGAACATGCTGTTGAGAACCAGTGCATCTTCTTAAGACCTTGTCTCTCCTGACTGGTAGTCGAACAGCAGTGTAATATGTACTGTGGTAAGGTAGTTTCTTCCTTCTTCTTGTGCAGGTCGAAGTGCTAACAGTATTTTGTTCACAAGGAAAACTAAGTATAGGTGGTGCTCAACTTCATTTAGTGACCATTAAAAATTACAACATCATTGAAAAAAGTAACTTATGACCATTTTTCATACTTAAGACCACTGCAGCCTCCCCATGGTCACGTGATTTACATTCAGATGCTTGACAATTGGTTCATATTTATGAGGATTGCAGTGTCCCAGAATCAGATTGTTTTTGCAACCTTTTGATAAACAAAGTCAATAGAGAAGCCTAGTTCACTTAACAACTGTGTTATTAATTTAACAACTGCAGTCATTCTCTTAACAAAGGTGGCAAGAAAAGTTGTAAAATGGGGCAAAAGTCACTTAACAAATTTCTCACTTAGCAATGTAACGTCTGGGCTCAAATTGTGGTCATAAGTCAAGGGCTACCTGCAACGATGTGCAGACCCATAAAACAAAGTTCCACTGTAATTGCTTTGCTGTGCTGTAACAAACTACAGTATATCCAGGAAGCAAAAGAGGCTTTTGTGCATATAATATGCAAGTGCAGAAATCTCTTTTGGAGCTTTAAGGAGCTACTAAATTCACAAAAAGAGACAAGAGTGAGAAAGTTATTGTCACTTTTGCATCTCATCAAGATAAATTAAGTATTAGGCAGCTGTTGATCTTTATTTTTCCAATAAGGCAGATAATGGGAAAATTTTCACATATACAGGTAGTCCACACTGAGCTAACACAATTGGGACTAGCTAATCAATCATGTGGGATTCGTTGTCTAGTTTTGGAATCACCAACTCGCCAAAACTCCCAAGAAAAAACAATGGTAATTTTATTTACTACTTTGCAAAAAGGGTGCACCACACATACGCAGGTACAGTAGACACACCTTAAATCATGAATATGTTTCCTTTATATTCCCTTTTGCTGTTTCAAATTTACCTCCCACTTTTTCCTCATTGGCTTAGTACTCAGGACATCACAATCTACCCGAAGCACCCAAACTGAATATATTATTTCCCGCCTCTAATCACATTTCCCATTACTCAAATTCTATCGACTCTTGCCCTTATTTACAAATTATCTTTTGTGGTGCTGGTTCCAAGAGATTGTTTCTAGAGTACCTATCACATCAGCAAATCTAGTTAAGACCGGTTTTTAGAGTAGCAGAGGCTTTCGATCCTAGTTCCTACATACAGTTTCCAAACTTCAACCTAGCTCACAAGATTAGAAATATACAATGTATTTTCTTCACAGGATGGCATGTTTTCATAGTTTCTGTAAAAATAATAGGTTCTGTTTCCCACAATTGTTAAATGAAGTGGTCACTAAGTGGAGCCACAACTGTGCTTACTATCTTACTTCTGCTTTCATTTGCTTTACATACCTGAGAAGGTCAGAAATGTGAAGATTATAAGGTTACTTTTTCATCATCCTTGTAACTGTGAGCAGTCACTAAATGATGCAGGACTGAAACAAGAACAACATTCAATGCTAAAATGTTATTTATACAATAAATGGAAAACAGAACTCATATCGCCCAACTGCTAGAAATTTAAATTTCTTCTCTGCTCTGGGGCTTATTTATTTTTTTCTAGGTGATTAAAGTTCAGCTATTTCCAATAGAATTGTTACATTTTTAATAGTAGCTACAGCTTGAAATAATCAGCCTTCCTTGTGCTATTAATTGCTTCAGGGTTTTCTGAACGTTCTATGTTATTATTTCTTATTTTTAACCTTGTTTTATACTTGATGTGTTTAATAACATTTTGTTAGATCTTAAATAAATAAAATTTCCATAAGAATGTTCCATCCCAATCCATAATGAGAAGAGACATATTGTCATCAAAGTTGTACACTATTTTGTAATATTACTAAATACTCTTCCTCATAGATTATGATTATATTATGTCAGCTATGATCAAAGCAAGATTGCAGTGTGTGCCTGCCCATATGTTGGATTATTGTCTTTTCATTTTAATAGACTACAAACTTAGCATTTATTTGAAATCATAAATTCCAGTCCTAAAGTAACAGCAATATTTCTGGGAGAGGCACAGGATCCCTCAAGACAACTAAGGAGAGTAATTTCCCCTGAGAAATCAAGATTGGCTTATCATATTTTGATTTTGAGATAACCAGTAGACATAGGACTGATCTAAGATATTTTTCTGCTGCAGACCAAAGCAAAGCCTTTGCTCAAAACAAAACTATCATGGTGTTTTTTTGTTTCATTGTGACCAGATAAAATTCCAACCTCAGTGGCTGTGGGCTTAAACTACAATATTAATATAAATTAATTAATCTATTAATATTAATTTATACATTAATTGAATTTTTAATTCAGATATTAATATTAATCTAAAATACAATGCACTATAAATATACAATGTACAAGGGCCAGTCTGATGTCATAGTTAAGGCACCAGGTTAGAAATCAGGAAACTGTTAGTTCTAATCCTGCCTTAGGCATGAAAGCCGGCTGGGTGACTTTGGACTAGTGACTCCCTCTCAGCCCAGTTCACTTCAAAGGGTGATTGTGGGAAAAATAGGTGAATGAAGAACTGTTAGCTATCTTCAGCCTATAGTTCCAATAGAAGAATTGTTTGTGTCTACATTGCATTTTCCATAAGCTATTGGAAGAGATTGGAGAAGTAAAGCAAAGTAAAGTAATGAGTATGTTCTTGTTGGTCAAAACAAAGCAATCACGTAATTTAGTAAAATGGCTTCAGGAGTGTGCTTCTCTTAACATATTGTTGAAACACAAAGCTTTGCATGGGCCCATTTTCACACCACAACTTTGAGCAGCTGATTATACTCTACTGCACAACATTTCTTAACTTTCTTTTATCTTCTTCTTGCTACAATATTTCTCAGTTTAAACATTTCCTTGTGCAGATACTTATATTTTATATTAAAAAGATAGCCAACAACTCCTGCTTATGCAAATGAGCGCCAACGTATGTTAATTATCTTGTAAATGCCTTTCTTGAGAGTTTGTCCATTTACCTTTAGAATCAGATTTCTGGAGCTCATATTTATACATATTCTAATCAGAATGAAAGGCATGTATGCTGTTTGGATGTACAGAAAAATCTATATTTGTGAAACAGAGGTGTTAATGTTGAATAGGTTCAATTGTTATACACTTAGGATAATATTAATCTTCTGAAAAGGGCTTATGTATACCTGACTCAAA